CGAGCGGCGGCCCCCGGGGTGGGGGGGGGGGGGGGGACAGGGCTCAGGGCCCCTCTTCCCGGGGCCATCGCAGCGGCGTCACCGGCTGTCACCGCAGAGGCATTTCTGAGCCGGGAGCGCGGTGTTCCCCAGGGAGCACTGGGATGTGCCGGGCGCCGGGGGGGTCACAGAGCTGCTCTGGGGGGGAAATGTCCCCTCTGGCTCTGCCGGAGCTCCCACGGTCTCGCCCTGTGCCGGGATGGCGGCACCCGGGAGCCGAGCGCTGGAGTGGGATGTGGGAAGGAGCGCGGGCGGCAGCGGGGTTTTTCGGTGACGGCCGCCCCTGGGGACGTGGAGCGCGGTGACGAGCTCCGCTCGTGCAGGTGGTGGCTCGTCCCGGGCCTGGGCCGGCTCCTGGCAGAGGCAGCGTCGTCTCCGCTGCGCTGGGGGCTCGGCGAGGGGGCACCGTGGTCCCGAGGGGCTTTTGCCATCAGTGCTCACATTCAAGTCCCCCCATGTTTCTGTTGAGCTCCAGGTTGGGAGCTCGCCCTGCCCTGGGTTGGGGACCTGGGGACTCCACGGTGTGGCAGTGGGGGGTCCTCACCCTCCCCGTGGGCCCCGGTGTGGGGTGCTGCGTTGGCAGCCCTGGTCCCTGCCAGCAGTTGACCCCCTGCCTCTTCTCCCCTCTGCAGAAATGGAAACAAACAACCATTTTAACTTCACTGGCCTTTCCTCCGCACCCGCTGCCTCAGGACCGAAACCCACGCCTGCCTCAGGGGACAGCCCCTTCGCCCACGGCTCCCCGCTCGGCTTCCCCCAGCAAGGGAAAAGTAAGTGTCTCCCCAGAGCGTGGGGACAGAGGGGGCCATGGCTGGTGGCACCTCGCTGTGCACGGGGCTGTTGCTGGGGGTCTGTCCCATGCCCACCCTCGCCTTGGCCGTGCGGAAGGGGGTCTCTGCCTGGATTTGGCCGATCAGCTGATGCCGCGCAGCCCTGCCAAGCGCTGGGCTAATCCCCAGCCTCCCGTGGCTCTCGGCCCCACACCGGCAAAGCCCCATGGTGGGGCTGGTTCCACCAAGTGGGGAAATGCCCCAGGGGGGGCAACTGCTCAGCTCTGTCTGGGCACAGGCAGCGGTTGTGCCTGGGTGGGGGGACACCGGCAGGAGAGGGGGGCTCAATGGCTGTCATCCTTCTGTCCTCGAGCCCTGTGTCCATCACTGGTGGGTCTGTGCGAGGGAGGGAGGGTGTCAAAAAATGTCCTTGCGGCGTCGCTGACCTGGCTGTGTCTCCTCCTCCTCAGGTCTGAACGGGGGCATGAATGTCAATGGCTTCTCTACTGTATCTCACCCCAGTACTTCAGGGACCTTCGCCCCCAGCTCGCCGCCCGCCGGCACGCCGCCCCTCCGCTCCTACGACTGCCTCTGGGACTACACGCCGTACCCCCAAACCGGTGGCCTCAAGGACGGCAGCCCCGCCACCCCCCCGCTCCCCACCCTCGGACAGTTTCCCCTCAACGGCGTCGCCGGGGGGGGGTCCCGGCCGGCGTCCCCGGGACACGGCACTAACCTACGGGGGGCCGGGCAGGAATTCTGGGGCAACGGCAACCCCGGCCCCATGGGGCTGAATTTCGACTCGCAGGAGCTGTACGACTCCTTCCACGACCAGAGCTTCGAGCTGATGCAGAACGGGCCGGCCGGCTTCTACACGGCCTCCCAGCCCTCCCCCATGTTGGCCTCGGACACCCAGCCCTTCTCGCTGCCGTCGGACCCGCCGGAGGAGCCGGGCGCCGGCCAAGGAGATGCCGACGCCGCTGCCAAAGAGATCCCCCCCGCCATCGCGGAGAACGGGGGCGGGCTGGTGGGCAGCATGGAGCTGGAGGAGGCCCAGCCAGGTAGGAGGCCGGGGCAGGACGGTGAGGGACCCCAAGTCGGGCATCGCGGTCCCCGGGGAGGCCTGGCACGTCTGCCCTGTGTCCTGGCCGGGGTTTGGCCTCTTGGAGTCTGGTTAAAGCAGGTCGGGAGAGCGGCGTCCCCCCGGGGCGGTCGGGAGCTGGGGGAGGCCTGGGTGCCAAGGGGGGAGGCCGGGCGCCATCGGCCCTGCTGTGGGGAATGGTGGCAGCTCGTGGCAGGTGATGCCCTGGGGGTGGGGGTGGCCGGGACCCGGCTCTGTCCCCGTCCCGTTCCCTGCCACAATGTCCTCTCTCGGTCGGTTCCTCCCTTTAGACTTGAAGATCTGCAGCTACAACGGCTCTGCCCCCGGCGCGGCGCCGCTCGGGCAGGAGGGGCCTGTCCTTGCCCCCGGCGCCGGCAGCGACTGCCTGGGGGACGCGTCGCCCATCGCCCCTCGGCTGGAGGACGCCCACATCCTCAGCGAGGACCCGCTGGAGCCCTTCGAGTCCCTCTCCAGAGGTAGGGGGGCTGCCGTCCCGTGGGTTTGGGCTGGGGGGGGGCACGGTGGGCAGGGCAGGCGGCTGCCAGGGGAAACTGTGCCAGGCCCCTCTCCGTCCCCTCCGGGTGGTGACGGGTGCGATGGTGGTGGTGGCGGTGGCCATGGTGGTGGTGATGGGTGCGATGGGGGTGGTGGGGGTGGCCATGGTGGTGGTGATGGGTGCAATGGGGGTGGCGGTGGTGGCCATGGCGGTGGTGACGG